GTGAGCAGGCATCGCTTCTGTTGGACTGAAAGTGAGACACACGCTTTTTGCATGCACGGTATTTGAATGATTTCCAGATATGGGAGGTAATTGGGGCGGCAGAAAGAATTTTCGTGTCCTCCATCCACTCCCTTCCTCCTGTTCCTAGGGCATCAGAGTTCACAGAATCCGTTTTAGTAACTTATTTATCTTTTATTCTGAAAAGTAGTTGAGACACTGGATGATTAGGTAAAGAGATTCAGCAGGCCAAACAGAACCATTGTGATCATTGCAAATGACACTGCCAGCATTCCAGAATGTGGAGAGTCCAAGTAATCCCCATTGTAAAACCCAGTCAAAGAGCCGATGAAATACGCAGTAAGCAAATGTTTGGCAATTCAGTCTTTCTAGAGTAAAAACAAGAGCTAAATGTAATCATAAAAGGAGTCTTCTGTCTCACTCTAAAGATGCTTTTCACTACCTAAAAACTTTGCATATGACCTTTTCTCTTTTTATATTTGATCTTTTGAAAAACAGCTTCCTTGAGGTGTGATTTACATTCCAGACAATTCACCAATTTTAGTATACAGTTTAATAATTTTTAGGAAATCGACAGAGTTGTGTAATCATCCCCACGATCTAGTTTTAAAACAATTCCCTCACCCCCCGAAAGATCCCGTGCTCCCACTTGCAGTCCCTCTGCTACCATTCGCAGCCCCTGACGGCCACTAAGCTGCTTCCTGCCTCTGCATCTGCCTGTCCTGGCGTGTCACACAAATGGAACCGCTCAATCTGTGGGCGTTTGTGTCTGACCTTCCCTTAGCACAGTGGTTTTGAGCTTCATGCTTGTTGCAGTATCTATTGGTATTTCCTTCCTTTTTGGTGCTGGATAGCATTCCACTGTCTGGAAATGCCACATTTTGTTTATCTAGTCGATAGGTATTTCAGTATTTGTCACTTTTTTTGCAGTTATGAATACTGCCGCTCTAAACATTCATGTACAAATCTTTGTATGGACATATGTTTTTATTTCTCTTGGTGTGGACTTGCTGGGTTACATGGTGAGTTCCTATTTAACTTCATAGGAAATTGCTAATAAGCTTTCCACCATGACTTTCTGCTTTCCACGTTTCGTATTTTCACCAGTAATGTTTCAAGATTGGACCTGTATTTTTAAAATTCGTTGGTTCTCTTCGGTTTCAAGATAGGTGAGACCCAAGGAATGGACTTGGAAGGAAGAAGTTGAGGCACACAGCACATGCGCCTTGCCATTTGGGGTTGATTAGTAGGTATCTGCAGGGCAGCTTTTTTTCTGCAGGGATGAACACAGTGGTTAGATGGTGCTATTGACGTAAACATCAAAAGATTTGGAAACAGAAAGAACCTTTTAGAGATCATCTTTAAAATAACCTCAAAATGAGGGCTAATCATATGACATTCTTTAGTCCTAGGATGATTTTTGTATTCCAGAGGTAGCTTGTTTGATTAATCCCATGCTTTGTTGGATGGAGTTAGGGCAGGAGGTAACCTTAGGGCTCTGCTCTGTTAGGCTTATTGGGGCATGTGAGCAGCACATTTGACAGATCAGATAGTAACGCTGCCAGAGCCTAGGCTGATTTTTCAATAGCACTGGTGGCTCTGACTGCTTCACGGACCAGATTGGTCCTGGTTGATGGCAGGTCTTATTTTTTAAAGAATGATGTGTTTTTTTTCTCAAGAGAAATGTCACCCCTGGATAAAGGCAGGTTGTGAATATAGGAAGGAAGATTGATGTTCTCATGAGAGTTTTACTGCATGATTATTATGATGCAATATCTGAATTACATTTGTGGCTTAACAAGAATGTGGTCATTTCTTTCCCCCCCCAAAAAAAAAGAAAAAGAAAAGAAATATTAGAGTGTTTTAGAAAGAATTCACTGCCCAAATGAAGCTACTGCTTATATCTTTTATCCCTCCCTTAACTTTTCCCTTTATCATCTGGACAATCTTCAACACACCCGCTCCTTAGTAAATTCATAAAAATGATGACATACTGTATATGAAAACACCCAACCCATGATTAATGCTCAGTAGGGTTTGTTTGTTTGTACATTTATTCCTGTGTATCTGATTTGCTGAGTAAATGATCCTCCTAAGATGTACTCATAGAGCAGCTTTGTTTTGTGTCCCACTTTCTCTTTAAAATTTATTAAGTGAATTCTTTGCCTCTGGATAACATCTCTGACTTTTCTGATTAGTCCTTAGTATAAAAAAATTCTACAGTCAGTTTCAGTTGCTAGGTACTTTTTAAAAATTGAGGTACAATTGATATATAACATTATGTCAGTTTCAGGTGTATAGCACAATGATTCGATGTTTGTATATATTGCAAAATGATCGCCACTGCAAGTCTAGGTAACATCCATTACCTCACATAGTTACAGAATTTTTTTTTCTTGTGGTGAGAACTTTTAAGTTCTACTCTCACAGCAACTTTCAAATATGCAATACAGTGTTATTAACTATAGTTGCCATGCTGTACATGACATCCCATGACTTATTTGTTTTATAACTGGAGGTTTGTACCGTTTGATCACCCAGAGTTTCTGTTTGATGGTACTTGCTCACTGTTGACTCTCACTTTCCCTTATTCAAAATGGTCAGCTCCCTTGGCTCAGCTCAGCGGGGGAGGTGAGTGATACATGGGGAATGAAGCAATGAGAGAGGGGCCAGAGGACAGGCAGGAGGAAAGAGGAGGCGCAACCTGGCAAGACTTCATAGGCCAAATGAGTTGGGCTTTCATTTACTTAGCTCTAGCTTCTTTAGTGCTTTCGTATGTACATGGTGAAACCTAATCAGTATGTTGTGTTGACTCAGCTCCCAGTGCAGCTAACCCAGTGCACTTGGGACCAAAGACAGTCTTGCTGAGCTCAAAGGTGAAGTCTAAAGGCTATCCTGGGTCCCAACCCACTCTTTGTCTTATACACTCATGCATGAAACATTTATTGATTGTGTGCCAATGGCCAGCACCCTAGTATAAGCAAAGTGAAAATCCTACCTTGAAAATCCACCATTCCAGAGTAAGCAAACAGTGCGGGATGCACCTTTTCACATTTGCTGAAACCTGGTGGCAGGACTCCTGAATCCCCCCGCTCACATCCAGGGTCCAAAAGGACCAGAGTGTGCAGATGGGGGTAAGATCTTTCTTCAGAGAGAACTGTGCAATGATTCCCACCACCTCTACCCAACCTCATGAGAGAAGCTTCTAGGACAGCTTAACAAGCCTGGACAGGTGCCTGACCCTTGCCTGGAAAATCTAAGAAAGGCATGTTCCCTCTTGTGGGAGTGGACTGACGAGATGCCCTTCCTCCTTAGTTTGACCAAATCCTACCTTTCCTTTAAGGCTAGTTGGACCCCTGCCCCTATTATGGAGACTTCTCTGATTTTTCCCAGCCCTCAAAGATTCCTACTCTTCGAATTTCTGTATTACTTGACAGCTAATTATTAGGGAGTTTCGTATCATTTTTTCCTCATACCCTTGGTCTCTACTCACATCCTCCACAGTACCTGCCCAGAGTTCACATAACCTAAATGTCTGTATGTGTTTACATTTTTTTTCATATATCTATACTATGGGATACTACTCAGCCATAAGAAGAGATGAAGTACTGCCATTTGCAATGACATGGGTTATATAATATTATGCTAAGTGAAATAAGCCAGTCAGAAAAAGCTCAGAACCATATGGTTTCACTTATGTGTGGGGTATAAAACTGAAACTCACAGATACGGACAGCAGTGTGGTGGTGACCAGAGGGAGGGAGTGGGGTGGTGGAGGGTGGAGGGGCCAAATACATGTCGACGGAAGATGATTTGACTTCGGGTGGTGGGTACACAAAGCAATGTACAGATCATGTATCATAGAGGTGTACGCTTGAAACTCATATGATCTCTTCCACCAATAAGTAAAAAAAAATTTTAATAAAAAAAGAACAACTGTGCTGTGAATAAAGTAAATTGGGTGGGTGGGGGGAGCAGCAGTCACTGGCCTCTGCTTCCCACTCCTGTTCTTTATGCCCAAAGCAGTGATATAGCCAGAGGCACAGCCCTATCCCAGAGGCAGAGTCTGGAAGCGGCTTCTACCCATGGGAGGAGGTCGGATGGCCCGAAGTGCTGTGCTGTCAGGGACATCTTCACTGGGAAGGCTGGTCTGGAGGGACCTTTTGCAGAATGTATTTGTTTTTCCAGATTGAGAGAACTGAGTGTTTGTACAGCTTTTGGTTAAAATTCCATCTTTGTTGCAGAGAGATTATTTAATCTGAGGAAACAGTCAAGTACTTAAGGGAGAAAGGTAGATGCTCACTAAGAGAAGTGCTTTAATTTTAGTTCCTTGCATTTGTTCAATGCCTTCTTTAGTGCTTTGGATTTTAAGTCTGATGTTCTTTATAACTCGGAAGAAAAAAACCTGAAGCCTGACGTTATTTCCTCTACTCCCCTGATGCGTGACAGGGAATTCACTGCTCTTGAATCCTGTCATATGGGGTCTTGGATGTTAATGGATTCTTGTGATTCAGGAAAATGCTTAGCTACCATTTGCCTTTGCCAGTTAGTACTGTTCCCTAGTGGCCATGGGTAATCAGCTAGTTGCCCTCCTAGAATTTACAGTGTGCAGGGCTCCCCTCCCATTTTCCCATCCTCCGAACTCCCCGCCCCCCAATATTGTGAAATGTTCAAGCAAAGTCAATGCTTGAAGATAATGATCTATTATATCTACTTGTGCAATGTCTCTAGATGATTTTTTAATGGAAGTTTCAATTATAGGTATGGTATCATTGTGTGGTTCCCCCAATCTAGCTGAGCTTCCAAATCACCCAAGGAGTTAAAACAAAAATTACAGATTTAGGAGCCTCACCCCTGATTACAGAATCAGCATACCTGGCTGCGGCTCCAAGAGAACCCTCATTGCTGACATAATTGGCAGCTTTGCCTTACAAAGTAATCCCTGGGTCATTCGTGGGTGTGGGTGTGGGAGGGCGAAGTAGTCTGAAGATACAGGAGAGGAACACTTTTCCTGACCACTTCAGTCGGCTGGGTTGTGAAATTAGAAATAGCTAAATAAAGAAATACTAGAAGCAACCACATTTTAGTGTGAAGGATATTACTTATTAATCTTTGTTTCTTCTAAGTTCTTTTTCAATCAGTCAGAGGTTTCTAACCTGCAAGTTTCCTAACTCTAAAGATTGGAGCTATTTTTTTTTTAAACAGCAGCTTCGTTGAGATATAACTCACACTCTATTCAGTTCACCTACCTGAAGTGTACAGTTGAATGGTTTCCGTGTGGTCACAGGTTGTGAATTTATCATGACAATAGATTTAGAACATTTCATCACCCCCAAAGGAAACTCTATTCATTATGTTATCTTTAATACTCAAAGAAGTCTAACTTATTGGTTCATAATAAAGCTCCATAAGCTTATAGCAAGGCTTTTTTATTCAGGCTAGAATTATATCAGATAAGGGTAGCTCATGTGAAACTTCGACTGAGAGCAACATTATTTTTAGAAGGAAAATGCGTTAATAATTAAACCCTGTTTGCTGGCCCCGGTCTTTCAGATGAGAAGGTAACCAGGCTGTGCATCTCTGCACTGTTACATCCTGATCGACTCAAACACGGACAGACTCAGTGTCGCGTGAGGACTGACAGCCAGTGATGGAAGCCAGATTTCAGTGACTTATTCTGGCCCGAGCAGGACGTAAGCTGCCTGATAGTCCTTCTCAGTGGGTAGATGTGCCTGATTTTGCTTGCAGTGGAAAAACTTGGTTGAAACCACTTTTCCCATTCTCTTCTTGTGCTCTCCAGATTAGGCTGCTGTGCAGTTCATTCAGCCTCACTGCAGCTCTTTTGAATGAAGCATCTTGATTAAGTGACATTTCCAGGGACTGCTGTTAGCGCAGACTTGCTAAGTTAATGGATGTCACTTTACTCAGGATGGCCTGGAGCCCAGTTTGGGCTTTGGAGGTTGGGCTTTGGGAATTGGAGCTGTGACTCCAGCTGACCCAAGGAAGGCCAGTAAGTCCCTGCTTTACTCATGAGTTCTCTTGTGGAAGAGGAGATGCTGAGGCAGAGGGAGCCCAGCATCATTTCAGGGGCAGGTTCCTTCCCATTAGCTGTGGCTTCCATGTGTTAGGTTCTTTTACAAATACCAGGAAAGCAGTGACCTATTACTAACTTTAATTACCCCCCGCTACCATTCTTGTGTTTGTAGTTGCTCTCCTGTGGGTGTCCAGAACTTGTTTACCCTTGACCCCCTCCTCTATCATTCTGGAGCTCTGTCCATCTACCACCCAGCTATCACATACCCAGAGCCCAGGTTCCGGGAAGACATCCATTTCTCAAGTAATCCCTTCCCCTGGGAACTTTTGGAATTAGTTGCTTTGTTTATTTAGTCTTCTTCAAATGAGAGTTTGCATACTTCTCGCTGGCATGCTTAAAAAAACCGCCAAAGATAAACACACACACACAAAACTAGTACAACACCTATGAAAACCCACCATGACCTCAAACAGAAGTCTTCCCCGCCATGACTGAAGGAATGCTCGGGGTGGTTCTGCCTTGGTGGGCTACACAGTTTATGGATTATCCACGCCTTGGCTTCTCTTCTCTCCTTCCTGCTGCATGGATTTGGCCTCTTTCCTTGATTATTAACACTTTCCCCAGAGGGTGGAAGGAATAGAACTCGAAGGGTGATTTTCATTTTCTAGTTACCGTTGGTGGAGGACCATTAGTCAGTGGCAATTTGGGAATATCTGGTTATCATCACTTCCACTTGGATTCATCAGAAGATGGTTTGTTTTGGCTTGAAAAAAGGCTGTTTATAAATCAGTGCAACTTGGACTTCTGTATTCCCTGTTTATCTACCTCAATCCTAGGTTCTCAAACGTCAGTGTGCAAAAGATTGAACCAAGTAGATTCCTGGGCCCTGCTCCCTGAGATTCAATTTCCATGGGATGTGGAGTAGGGTTTTGCATTCAGCAAATTGTCCCCAGGTCCTCCTGATTCAGATTAATTAGGGGCCAACTTTGAGAAACACTGGCCCAGAATTTGCACTTTGCTGTTCAGATACCAGCCCAACCTTCTCTGTGGTTAAATACTTGGCAGTTACCAAGATGTGATTACAGTGTGTACAGTTTCCAAGGCAACATGCATTTTATCACTTCTACCCACCAAGCTGGATAGATTGAAAGGGACCACAGGGTGGCTGTAGTAACGGTGTGACCTTCCGATTAAAGTCGTTGAAGTGCTTTATGATGACTGGATTTTCATACTGTTCATCCAAGGACCCTGCTTAATGGCAGCAGCAGAGATGAAAGTCAACACATTAGAAGCCACCGAGTTGCTGGACTTCTGGAGGCAGGGAGTCGGACACGAGGAGGGATGGCAGCCATTTAGTTGCTTGTATTTCCCCCCCCTCTGTCACAGATCAGTTTAGTCCAGAATGATAGGGATGGTGGAGCAGCAAGAGACAACCTCGAAAGGCTTTAGAAAAATACTGGTCAGCTGTAGTAAACATTTGACGGCTGTTTCTTAGTTCTCAGGTGGATAGTATGTTGACGTTGACCGTTTCTCACCAGCTGTCACTTGAGACTTGAAGTTACATTTATAGAGCGCTTATGATCACATACGATGGGAACTTACCCATAGGTTTCCTTGCCTTTTTGACCTAAATGCAAAGGTTCCACATTTTGTACCTTTTTCATGTTTAAGGATGAAAGTGATCAATTCCTACAGTATTTTAGCGCAGGATCCTGCTTTTCCGTTTTAGTTTTAAAGGTAGAGGGCCGTGGGAAAAGCATTGAACTCTCCGACTTTGGGGTCCGGTCCTGAATTCCAGCATAAGCAGGCTTTGCGGCTGCGCAACTTCCCTAACTTCTCTGAAGCTCCGCTTCTGGAAAACAAGGGGCTTGGACTCCATCAGTTGTCTTAACTGACAACCCCCTTGCAGAGTCAGATGAAAACTAGGAACTCTCTTCCCTAAAAAAAAACACATACATACTTAAGAAAATTATATTTACTTTCCTGGGGACCACAGACCCCTCCTAAAGAAGGTGATTTCTTAAGACTTTTCAGTTGGACTAGCTTCCTCTAAAAAGTAGATTTGGGGGACTTGGCTAAATAGTCCAACTGGGAATGGCTGGGCCCCGCAAGGACCTGGGGAATCTTTCTCGTTGTTTAGAGTGGCCTCCCGAGGAATGAGGTATTTGCTGAGGGAGGTTTTGTTGTTCCTGGCATTTTTTGCTCACTGCCCTGTGCATTTAGAGGGGAAAACCACACTGAGAAAAATAAATAGGGAATGCATGGCATCTGGAGTATGAAGTGTTTCCTTACCATACTTCTCTGTGGGGACCCTCCAGAGGAGGTAGGTGGTGTCGTTGTCACCTGGAGGATGTGTAGAGGAGTTAGTTCAGCATACAGACACTATACTGTCTACAATGACAATTGAGTGGTTACTTAAACTTGTTCTTCTTTTAATGTTTGGGAAGTTGGGGTAAAATTGAAATATTTGGTTGACTTGGAAATGTCAGAAGGTTCCAGGTATCCTGAGTGGAAATCTACTCTTTACCCCATCTTAGCTCTTAGATCTGATCACTTTCCAACTCAACCCCAGCCTTCTGCTGGTGGCCCAGAGTGTTAATCCCATCAAGAGGGAGTGTGTGTGCTGTTTATTTGGAAACCTCTGTACTTAATTTCTTTCTTTCTTTCTTCCTCTGCTTAGGTGCTGAACAGTGTCCTCTAGAGCTTTGGAAGGCTGAATGGACTGAACATGAAGAGCTTGAAAGCGAAGTTCAGGAAGAGCGACGTAAGTACGCGGTGACTCGCCGCCACCTGGCTGCTCCAGCAGGGCTCCCCAAGGTGCAGAAGCGTCCTCCCCCTCAACCTGATAAGGCTCCGGGTCAGCCAGCCACTGCTGGCTAATCTGGGCCCCAGCCCAGGGTGGCTTTTGTGAATGGCGAGCTCTGGGCTTCTTGCTGTTTATATGCATAGCTTTCAAAAGTGACATTTAAAAATTCCTGGGGAATGTGCCTTGTAGAGAAAGGAACAGTGAAATTATACATCTAAAAGAAAGGAATCAGTAAAAACCTCAGCATTTCTCAAGTCCCCTAAATCTGCCTTTTAGAGGAAGCTAGTCTTATGAGAGTGGTTGAAGAACTACGTTTCAGCATGGTTCACGTTTAGCCTTAGGAAACACTTCTTCACTTCCTGTTAAGGCTTTTGTGGTAAAAACTATTTATTGCTGCCTTTGCCTTTACTCCTCCTGAATTTGTGGGCTTCTTACTCATTTGTTAATCATCATAAAAGACTTTGGATTGGATGAACCAGCTGTGATGTCAGAGTTATGAAACACAGCCTCCCAGAGGAGAAAATGGAGAGAAATGGCATAGCGGCAGGATTATACACAATGCTGTTTTAACAAAAGGTCACCTCATGGACCCTGCTGAAATTCCACTCTTGTATTAGCTGCATTCCAGATGCTTCGAGCAGAATTGTTGAATGGAAGAAATTCATGGAAGGGTATTTGATGGAATTCCAGATACACCATCTTCTTTTAACATTAGGTAATTAAAGGTGACCCTGGATTTTATTGCTTTGCCATGAATTATTTGACAACTTGGCACAGCTACGTTTTTGCAGTAAGTAGAGGCTGCGTCTTTTATGGCACACACACACACACACGCACACGCACACGCATGCACGCACCCTCCTTCTGGCTGAAGCTTATCTCCTGAGGTTACATCATGACATTAACTTACTGCCCTGATAAGACCCAGACCAGAGAAGATGCTTGTGGGATGATTGCAGAATCTTATCTTGCTTAAAGGAAGTTAGAGCTAGAAAGGTTTTTCAGGGAAAAGTTGGTCTCATCTTCTCATTCTTCAGGTAAGCTAACCGGTACTCAGAATATGAAGTGACTTGGACAGAGTCATCCACCCAGCCTCTGGCCGGTGAGAGCCTTGGTCATCTGACTTCCTTAGTCCCTTCCCCCTGCCACTGCCCTGAGAAACTCCCTTCGCCCCCCTCATCTGCTGGCCATATGATACTGGAGCCTACGAATCTCATTTGGCTTTCTGCTAAGAAGGAAAAGGCAGTTAAATGGAAAATGTTGCCCAGTGAGGGGATATGGGTTTGAGAAATGTGTGACCAGGTTAACATATGTCTTTTCCATTCCAAGGGAATTTGGGTGGCTTCCATTTATACAAGCTGAGAGTATTTTAGCAAAATTTAATCAGCATCGAGTGCCATGATACATGAACAGGGGCAGGGGAATGATAGGCACATAAACTTTTGGTTTCAAAAAAACTGAGGCAACAGGGAGGGTGTTGATGGATTCTAGTTTTTAAATAAAAAGGGAAATGGTTCCACGATAACATAAAATCACAGTAATAATACTACTAAAAGCTTCTGAGATTTGGCAGCAGAAAGGTTGTGCATTTGGCAGTCCATGCTAAGAGAGGAAATGTTTGGAGCAAGGTTTGGGGAGGGAGTAAAGGAAATTGGTATAATGGGGCCAGAAAATATCAAATGACTTCCCAAATTCATCCCAAATTGCTTCTCAGAGCCACAATATTGTACAGCAAAATGGAGGGGATAAAAAAAAGAAAAGAAAACTATTTCGAACCCCAGTTGGTTCCTGAGCCACATGACAATAGTAACTAACCATTACAGAACATTTATTGCGTGTCAGGTGCTCTGCCAGGCTCTTTACATGAAATCATTTCATCTTGCCACAAACTTATGTGGTAGATATTCTTGTTCAGCTCACTTTACAGATGAAGAAACTGAGACCTAGGGAGGCACAGGAACGTGTCTGGCTTCTTGGAGTTCTAAGTTATAAAACCAACCAGTTTTGTGCCAAAGTAGCCCATTTCCAGAGCCCAGGTTTCCTGAAAGAGAAAATTTGGCTGGAGATTGGATTTTATGAAACACGACAATCCAGGCAGTAGTTTGAAAAAAAGTGACTTTGGACCTAGGTGTGTGGCCCTGGGCAAGTCTCTTACCTTTCCTGAACCTCAGCTTCCTCCCCTGAAAAGCGGAGAAAATATTAGCCTTGCACAGTTGTGAAGGGTAAATGTGCTCACATCTGTTGTAAAACACACATCTTAGGACCTGGCAGTCGGGAGATGCTTGGTCAGTATTTCTTTCTTTCTCTTAATCAGAAACCCATGGTAAAAAGTGGGATCAGAAAAGTATATAGGGCCTGGAGGGTGGAGTAACCTGGAAACAGTCTGCCTCTGAGGATCCGGGAAACTGGGAGTGGATTCGGGAAGGAGGCTTGCTTTTTTCAGTGTGCGCCTTTTGGTTTGAATATTTTTGTATATGTATATGTGCATCCGTGTAATCAGTTATTACAAGAAAAATAAATTTTAAACTGTTTATATTCAGTTAAATGAGCCAAACGATTATCTTCTTTACCCAAACTGAGTGGTCTCTCTGAAAGAATCAACCTAAACCATCAGGCATCACCCGTCCAGTTTTCCTGCCTGCCTTCGTGTGAGGCTGAAGGGAGAAGCTGGAAGAAAGCGTTCTTTGTTTCTGGGGGGTAGGAAGAAGCCCGGCAGATCATGTTCGTGCTTTCAGAAAGAGAAGGCGGGTGACCCGCTGCCGTGATCGCGTTGCAGCCGCCTGGGCCTGGGTGGGCTGCGGCCCCACCGGCTCGTGGCCACTGGGAGCAAAGCCCAGGAGACAGGCAGGACGAGCGTGGCCCCGAGGAGCCCCGTGGGTGGGCTTAAGCTCTCTCTGCTCTTCCAGGACCGTCGTGCAGCTAGAGATAGAATCCCAGCGTCCTTTCTGGAACAGTTGACCCGGCCGCCACCGCCACATCGAGGGCAGGTTTATGTGAGGGTAACGGGAATGAACCTGATCCTGTGGACTGAGGCTAGAGAAGGTCACTGTCTAGTTGCTTTAATCCCTGAACATATTTGGGAGTCTGCAGATAACCCACAGAGGCCGAACACTTGTCCTTCGCCCGGGGATGGCATTTGCCAGTTCCCCTTTATTGTGGGCATCCTTACACTTGGGCTGGATACTAGTGAGAAATGTGAAGTGCGGTTCTTGTCTTGAAGAAGCTCAGAAACTGAGGTGGGAGGGGAAATATTACATGCAAGAAATAACTGAGGCAAAGTACAGATCGTGTCGAATGTAGATACTGAAGGGCCCTTCAGGGTGGTGTAAACCAGTTGCTGAATTGTGGGGCCTGGATGGTCAGCGCTGTGGATTTTCAGAGAAGGGCGATTCACTGGAAATGGGAGACTTTGTTGGGGGGGTTTCGTCCATGTAGAGAATGGGTGGGATGTGGAAGGATGGTTGGGAGACAAGGGGAGGGTAATGCATGGAGCCGGCCATTAGCACAGCAGGTGACTGTCTTAAAATTCTGCCCTTGACATTCTGATACTTAAAGAGCCCAGGAGAGTGCCCATGGCATGGCTCTGAGTCTTTTAATAAGAACGCTATAACTATTTCGTTCTTGTTTTAAAAATGGACATACTTGACTTTTATGCTTATAAAATGAGCACAGAGTTTTAAATCATCATTATTTATATCTTTTATGACTACAGTTTGAAAGTGACTTCTTTACCTCTTTAAATATTTGCAGCAACTAGTAAGTACGTGGTTTCCACATGGAAAAATGAGCTGTCAGCATGAGAAACGAGGCCAAGAACGTTGGGATTTCCCTTTGCTAATAAAATGCTAAGGCTTCTAGAATGTCTTTGTAAATGCCAATTTTTGGTGCTGTGAGTGATATGGGTGGAGGTTGAGGGATAGGAAATGGGCTTGAAAGATCTTTGTCACAAATCTTGAGATACGCCTCTCACACCCGATCGAGGCCTCCAGAGTTTACTCTGTGGGGGTGTGTTTCGTTTTATGAAAGATTTGTTCCCAATTATGTTTTCCATTGTAATAGGGAAGCACCGGACATTCCTTAAAAAGAGAATCAAAGCAGCCAGTTCAAAATGGCTGGCTCTGTGAGAGATTAAATTGATTCTTTACGTAGCAGTTATTCACGATGGCAGTCATCAGCCAAAGAAATGCACACACCAGGCGAATCCCGAGGAACCAGACACATCCTGCTCAGACAGGAGCTTGAATTTCTGGCCTGTTGAGAGAACAGCTCTCAGGAAGGTCGATAATTGACATCTCTGCCAAGGTATTTTTTTCCAAGGAGTTTTTAGTCATTTCTAGTAAGTTCTTACACATGCCCAAGCCTCCCTCTCCCACTACAGACACACAGAAAAACGGTATTGAAAAGCCAAGCGTCCCTGTTCACAGAGGAGCCTTGGCCTGTTCTACTGTAAAGCTAAGCCCCTTTTTCACAGACATAACTTAAAACTGCATCAGAGGTGACCTTATCGGGTGGAGCCATGAGACTGTGAACTTCTGGAAAGGAATTCGGTCAGGTCTGTGTCATACTGCATATTTCCCAGGGCTTGTCACCCTTCTTAAATGGGGAATCTGTTTGCTGTCTGATTTTACCTTGTATTTGTTTCTTAGGGCTTCTATAAACACAATCCGAGTGGCTTAAACAACAGAAATGTGTTGTCTCACAGCTCAGGAGGCTAGAAGTGTGGGGTCAAGGTGTATGCAGGGGTTGGCTCCTTGGCAAGGCTGTGAGGGCGGATCTGCCCCATGCCTCCCCCAGCTTCTAGTCATCGGCTGGCAGTCCTTGGCTTGTAGATGCATCAGCCCCATCTCTGCCTTCATCTTCACATGGTGTTCTCTGTGTGTGCCTGTCTCCCCCTTTCCCCTTTTCAGAAGGACACGACGGCCCACTCTAGTGACCTCATTGTAACTTGATTACCTTTG